AAGCCTTGTTTCTATGGGTTATGGTTTACATATGGGTGACATAAAGGTATGGGTTACACCTTAATGTAAAGAAAACAAAAATTTCTCACCATTGGACCAAGAAATAACATTCATATAAATGGAGGAAAGATTGAAGTTGCCAAAGGTTTAATTTTTCTTGTATCCACCATAAGCATTCATGGAAGCAGCAGTCAAGAAATCAAACGACGTATTGCATTAGGCAAATCTGCTGCATAAGACCTCTTTAAAGTGTTGAAGAGCAAAGATGTCAGCTTGAGGACTAAGGTGCACCTGGCCCAAGCCATGGTATTTTCAATAGCTTCATATGCCTATGGAAGTTGGACAGTGAATAAGGAAGACCATAGAAGAATTGAAGCATTTGAGTTCTGGTGTTGGAGAAAAATATTAAAGGTTCCGTGGACTGTGTTGGAAGAAGTACAATCAGAATGCTTCTCAGAAGCCAAGGTGGTGACATTTTGTCTCTTATACTTTGGACATATTGTCAGGAGGGACCAATCCCTGGAGAAGGACATCATACTTGATCAAGTGTAGGGTCAACGAAAAAGATCCCCAACAAGATGGATTGGCACAATGGCAGCATCAGTGGGTTTAAGCATAGCAGAAATTGTGAAGATGGTTCAGGAATAGGTGGTGTTTCAGTGTGTTGTACACTGAGTTGGTATGCATCAGAACCGACTCGATGGCACCAAACAACACTCTCTATAAATGTTCGTCAACAGGATCCTTTATTTGATAGTCTTTTCCTAGATTCATATGCTTCTCCTAGTCTCTCTTATCTCTTCCCATACTTTTGTTGTTGGTGCTGTAAGTGCCATCGAGTCGGTTCTGACCTCTAGCGACTCTGTATAGGGTTTCTGAGGAGCTTCTGGTGAGCTTAAACCACAAACTGTGTGGTTCAAATCTTAAATCGACTTTGTGGTTGAGTCCTTATCCTCCAGTATCATACCAGGACTTGTCACAGACTTTAACCTCACATAATTGCTTTCAGCTCCACCTCTTTGCCAATTTTTGTATTCTGTTACACATTTCCAACAAGATGACTCAGATACACTTCAAATCTAAATCCAAACTTACTGACCTCCTAAAACTTTGTTATTATAAATACCCATATATGCTTATGTGTATCTATCATATATATATTTATATATATACACCTCTGGTAGCGTAGTGGTTATGAGTCGGGCTGTGAACCTTAAGGCCAGCAGTTCAAAACTACCAGCTATTCCACAGGAGAAACATGAGGCTTTCTTTACAGCCTCGGAAACCCTGTACAGGGCCGCTATGAATCGGTTCCAACTCCATGCCACATAACCACCATAGACAGTTATGTGCTACATAATGCCCAGTCAGCATCTGACCACATATGTATCCATGGCTACAGTAGACTGTAGCAAACCTAATTAGAGAATGAAACTTAGTGCATGCATCAGCTTCCTGCACACAACGCATGTACCTCATGGCTCGGTATACAAAGCGATTACCCTGGCAGATGTATAATGAAGTAGTGCACATATATATACCCTATAATATACATGTCTTGATCTGCATAATAACCACCTGTGCTACTGAGTGATGTGTGTGCTCTCTTGTACTTTCTATTTTAAGTTTACCATAAACTATGTTCTTCAACTTATAGGCAGCAACATCCAATCTCATGTATTGCACGTTTCAGGCATTTTAGGGTTAACTCTCTGTTACGTTTTCTTTCAAAAATGGCTTCCAAGCACAGCATAACCAATGCTAATGATGGCATCAATAAGAGAGAAAGGAGAAGTATCCATGAAGTAGAAGATCAGTGCATGCTATATTGCTCCTGATTTAGGCATGCTGTGATGATCTGCAAAAAGAAAAGACATTCTCCCAGCTGTGGAAGGATCAGTTCCATAGAAAGCTACAAGTTTAATGAAAATGTGTGAGGGACTTGCATCAGATCTGAAGAAGTTACTGGTAATGAGGATTGAGGACCAGACACAACAATGGATCTATCTCAGCAAATTGACAGTCAATGTGAAGGCATGAAGCTCGTTCACCATGCTTAAAGAAAAAGCAGGACCAGGCTATGATACGGTGTTCACATAGCATTCAAATCACGTGGCATTCTACTTCACCAAACTTATTGTGGACATTAAGCAAGATATGACTGTATATATTTATAATGCATCCTAATCCATTCTGTCTCTTAAGCTGGGAAGTTAGAATCATATTTCTCTCTTCCTGGTTTCCCAACATTCCTCCCGTCATCTAACTAGTTATTGTTGTAGTGAAGTGCTGTTGAGTCATTTCTGAATCATAGCGACACTGCATCGTGTTTCTGAGGCTGTAAGTCTTCATGGGAAGAAGAGAGCCTCATTTTTTTCCCTGAGAGTGGCTGGCGGGCTCGAACTGTGGTTTGCAGTCCAGTACTTAGCATATGGAAGGAGCTCTGGTTGCGTAGTGGTTACAAAACGGACTGCTAACCTCAAGGTCAGCAGTTCGAAACTACCGGTGTTCCGCCAGAGAAAGATGAGGCTTTCTGCTCCCGTAAAGATTTACAGCCTCAGAAACCCTGTACAGGGTCGCTATGAGTCGGGACCGACTCCACGGCACTTAACAACAACAACAACTTATATGGAGTTTCCACGCTCACCAACTGGCTGCTGTTTTTGTTGTTAAATGCTGTCAAGTTGGTTCCGATTCATAACGACCCTGTGTAGGTTTTGCAAGGAGCAACTGGTGGGTTTGAACTGCCAACCTTGAGGTTAGTAGTCTAGGGGTGGGGGTGGTAGTGTGCCGTGAAGTCAGTTCCGACTCATAGTGACCCAGGGTTTCTGAGGTTGTAAATCTTTACGGGAGCAGAAAGCCTCCTCTTTTTCCCACGGAACATCTGGTAGTTTCAAACTGCTGACCCTGAGGTTAGCAGCCCAATTTGTAACCACGAGGCTACCATTCTAGTGCTGATCCTAAAGCACCACACCAGGACTCCCGTTGTTAGGATTGTTAAGTGCCTTCGTGTTGGGTCTGACTCAGAGTGATCCTGTATGGGATTTCTAAGGAGCAGCTGGTGGATTTGAACCGCTGACCTTGTGGCTCAAACTGACATTATGGGTCCAGTGCATTATCTTGCAGCATCACAATAGGATTCCATTGTTGGATAGCCTGTGTTTTTCTCAAGTCAACAGACAGCTCCTAATAAAATTGTTGTTATTGTTGAGTGATGTCGAGTTGGTTCCGGCTTACAGCAATCTTGTATAGGATTTCCAAGGAGTGGTTGGTGAGCTTGAACCGCCAACATTGCAGTTCAGACAGACTTTGTGCTCCAGCACATTAACCCACAGCACTACAAGACTCCCTAGTAATTGATTAGTCAGCCATTTTTATGTGTTATGGCGGCTCACTAGGCTTTGTGCCTGTTCTGCCTTCTCTTCACACACACTGTGTTAAAAATGTTTGCTTTTTGATCTTTACCCTTATTCAGTAACTTAGTAAGTGTGTGGACACTGTTCTAGTCACTATAAATTTGTGTGTCTTTGTATTCTTTTCTCTCCATGATAACCTGATTTTTCCTTAAACTCATTAGTACACTTCTTAGGATCTTGGATACTGTCAGTGCCTGGGTGACTAAAACTATCATTCTTAGGCTTTAAATTCAATTTGATTTAAAAATTAAATCTGTTTTAATTATATTAAAATGTTTTGAACATATGGATGCTTCATTTCTGCATTTCATGTAATATACCAAATAATACTCCTACGTTTTATTAGCGCGCAGCTGAAGTTTTTGCCCTTTTCACTATCTTCTTAATCCTTCCTCTAAATTAGTGACTTTTTTTCCTCCAGAATAAGTACCATATTTCATGTAGCATATGGTCATTGAAAGTGTTACATGGTAAGAATGTTTATGTAATGACACACGTGCTTTATTTTTACTTGAAAACATGGTTTTTCACTTCCCTCATTATTAGTTTGGGTTCTTAGTAATTAAAGACCATATCCTGTATTTTTAACAGCTGCTGAGAAAACTCATGGTGTTATTCTTTATCAGCAACTGTGTTTTTTTATCTTTTTTTTTAATTAATACTTTTAGAAAGGAGTTAAGTTGCTTTAATTCTTAGGTGGCAGTTAGAAGAAAGAATTGTAAAGCACTTTCCCATATTAAAAATTAATATTCTTGTCATTATACTTGCTTAACCAAACAGATGAAAAACTCAAATATTTCACCTCATATAGAAACTGTCTACTGCTAGATTTTTCCTGTTTTTATACAGTGACTGAAAACACTAAATATCTAAGAAAACCATTTATCCCTTTGACATTACTGTTCTGTCAAGAATGTAGAAATCATCATCATAATAATTTTTTAAGTCAGAGGAAGAGATATTCTGAGTATAACTTTTTAATGTAGAATAGTTTATTTTGTACCAAAGTATCACAATTATTTTTTAATCTTATTCTACCCTAGAATTCATGTAGTACTTTCAGTGGCTCTTAAGCCTATTATCTAGGCTTTGAAATGACAAATATTAACTTAAATCAATTATCTTTTGCTGTAAATCCCAGTAGTAAGCACTTTGCAAGGGGAATATACACAAACAGAAAATCATTAAAATTTCCTCCCTGTATTTTATATAAATGTATCTTGTCAATGAAATATTTTACCAACTGTTTGATGTATGTTTAATTAATATCAAAAATAGCTGTAAAAACAGACAAACCTGTCCAAATACAAATATAGATTTCATTTTGTGCTGCACAGATTAAATTGATAGACAAATTGACCATTATACTTGGTAATAACTTTAAGAAATCTCTTTGTCAAAATGTGACAGTTGCACCCATCATAAATATGTTCAACGTATTTCTGTTGCTATCAAATGTAGTTTATCATTGGTTCTTGTCATTTATGTACTTGAGACCCAATTCACTCTACTGGTTCTAAGAGAAACTTTTAAAGGAACTTTGGACTTTCAAAAGCAATATGCAACTTTTTTTGTCTTCTCTAGGATATGGAAAAATGAAATAAACAATACCAGTACTTTCAGAGTTTTACCTCATCCTTCCTTTGTTTACACGGCTAAATTCCACCCAGTTGTAAAAGAACTGGTGGTTACAGGATGCTACGATTCTGTGATACGAATATGGAAAGTTGATACGAGAGAGAATCCTGCTATATTGATCCGACAGTTTGATACTCACAAGAGTTTCATCAACTCTATCTGTTTTGATACTGAAGGTATGCCAGAGTATATATTCCAAATGAAGGCTGGTTGCATAAAGACTATTTTAATTATTTTTCATTTGATTAATGATAATTATTAAAGCTTGAAAATTTTTATGTATTAGTGTCTTTTTTGGTGTAGCTTCGTTGCTTACTTTGGTCTAATGATTGAAATTTAAAGTGATAATTTCCACTTAAAACCAAACGGCCACCAGTCATCTGCCAGTTTGTCTTACTGGGGTAGCTAGTGAGTTGCTGTGATTCTGAAAGCTATGCCACCGGTATTTTAAATACTAGCAGGGTCACCCATGGTGGACAGGTTTCAGATGAGCTTCCATAAAGACAGACTAGGAAGAAAAGAGTGACAAACTACTTCCGAATAGTTAGTCACTGAAAACCTTATGAATAGCAGAGAAACACTGTCAGATACAATGCAGGAAAATGAGCCCTTCAGGTTGGAAGGCACTCAAAATGCGACTGGGGAAGAGCTGCCTTCTCAAAGTAGAGTTGACTGTGATAACGTGAATGGTGTAAAACTGGTAGGAGAAAAGCCTGTGGGACCTTCATTTGCTGATGGGACACAACTCAAAATGAAGAGAAACAGCTGTAAACATCCACTAAAAATCGAACATGGAAAGTACAAAGTATGAATCTGGAAAAATTGGAAGTTTTTAAAAATGAATTGGACGCATAAACATCGATATCTTAGGCATTAGTGAGCTGAAATGGACTGGTATTGGCCATTTTGAATCTGACAACATGGTTTGCTATGCCAGGAATGACAAAGTGAAGAGGGATGGTGTTGCATTCATTGTCAAAAAGAACATATATAGATCAGTTATGAGATATAACACTGTCTGTGATAGGTTAATGTCCATGCGCCTACAGAGAAGACCAGTTAATACCACTATTATTCAAATTTACACACCCACCACTGAAGCCAGTGAGGATGAAATAGAAGAATTCTACCAATTCTTCCATCTGAAATTGATCAAACATGCAATCAAGATGTAGTGATCATTACTGGTGATTGGAATGCAAAGGTTGGGAACAAAGAGGAAGGATCAGTAGTTGGAAAATATGGCCTTGGTGATAGAAATGATGTTGGAGAACGCATGATAGAACTCTGCAAAACCAGTGATTTGTTCATTTCAAATACCATCTTTAGCATAAAAGATGACTATACACATGGACCTCGCCAGATGGAATACGTAGAAATCAAATTGACTACATGTGTGGAAAGAGAAAAGTTCCATATCATCGTTCAAAACAAGGCCAGGCGCAGACTGTGGAACAGATCATCAATTACTCATTTGCAAATTCAAACTAAAACTGAAGAAAATGAAAACAAGTC